TGCTGAAGTGTCCTTGAGTCAAGCCTTGACCTTGACCATGACCTTCTTCTGATAATGAGTGAGTGAAAAGATAAACTTCTCACTCCCACTGAGAGTGATGGAAAACATGTCCGCTGCTCGGGCCGATTGATGACGTTTTTACGATATATCAACATATTTTTATCAAGGTACAGAACGACGCCATACTATTTATATTCTCTTGTCTGTTTGTCTTCACTTGTTTGCTTGTCTAAGATTTAATGCTATGTTCTTCATTTACATTACTTTGACATGACATTCCTGTGTAATTACGAGTATGCGGCCTAGCTATCTTTTGCTACTATTTTATAAGGAAAAAAGAAAACCAGACTCCAGAGATATCCGATTTCTGGACCATTTCACCAACCTACACTTGCAGCTTTTTTGTCTCCTTTTATGAGTATATTTTGAACTAAAAAAACTCATTAAAACAATTTAAGAGTAGTTAAAATATGCAGTTTCTATGTTATTATGTAAACTAAGTTTTATGGTATTTGTTTTGTTGGGTAATAATGAATTTTATATACACACAAATAACCTGAAGAGCTGGTATCAAAATCATTGACTTCATAGAGTGAACACGAACAAACTGCAGAGTCATTCAGTCTGGCAGCCAAGCGGAGCTCCCACTGGGTTGAAGGTTAAAGTCCCAGTGAACTGATTAAGGGCACTTTAATTGTGCAGATGACATGTTGTATAACACATCACTTTCTCTTCTTATACAACAAACTCAGGTCTTACCTTTAAGGTATTTGTGGAGGATGTACTGAAGGCCGTAGAAGACGGTTTTGTCATATTTGACTTTTCTGTTTTTGCCGGGGTCTGTCCTCTTCTCGCGACACTCAAAGTAAGAGTAGACTTTACTCGTGTTGGGGGGATACTGTTTGTAATGTGTTACCTGTAACGACACAAACATGAGAATGAGATATAAAATTTAGACATGGGGATTTGCAAGAAATAAGTGGCATGACCATAGGACTTTAAAATAATTACATTAAAAGAAACACAATAGGTAAGGCCTTGAATTGTTTAAATGAAAACAAAACTATTTCTGCTGAGTTTTTGCTCACTTGAGTCATTAAAGCTTGTGACACATTTACTGTGAATTGCAACACATGACTACGTGATCTTCCTTGGTAGTCTTGCCTAATATTGTAGATAATAACAGATATACATCATAGATATAATGACTAACACTAATTGTGAAATGTTTTTAAATCTATAGGTAACCATACATTTAACTTTTAAAGTCAAATTAAAAACAAGTTAAAGAGGTTGTGATTGAATGATGGCAAATTTCTGAAATAGGAAAGGTCAGAGTTTTCATACAACTTATCAAAAATTGTGCAACAAAGTAATAGTTAACTGAATGTTACTGGAAAAAAAAATCAAGCGAGTTCACCTGAGTATCTATGTGCTTTCCCTTTCTATCGCATCTAAACTGAACAAATGGGGTTGGATTTCACACCAGTGAACAAAAACACACTTGCTTGTCAAGCATAATTGAGAAATGTTTCAGCTGTGAATGTCTGACCATCAACTGAATCCCACATAAATCCAGGGATTTTCACATAACGGATGGGGGCATGTAGGGACCTAAGAGTCATCACAATCCCATTGGTGTCCACTGACATCAACCTGCAATGCACTGAGAGACCGAAGAGCTGAGGGCCAAAACACATTTGACTAAAGCCACGCTTTTAGCATGCAGTAAAATCAGCATGTCAGCTAGCCAACAACACCGAAAATGTGATACTGAAACACAGGAAAACAGGCCCACGAGTAGTTCTCACTTGCTATAATACTGTCAAAACCAAATATCCCCAAAAATATACTTAAATAAAATATAAATTAATATAAATGTATTAATAACATATGCAATTCGAAGGCTTGTGCTATGCTATTAGATATTTGAATGCTAACAAAACACAAAAAAACAAAACCAAAAACCATCAACCAGGCGTTCCTCTTTTAGACTTCAGTGCTGTCCGTGCAGCAACTCCCTTTGACCTTGCAATGCTTTTATGTTCATTTTTTTCTCACACTAGATTGACTTCATTCAAACCACCTCAAACAAACAAACCCAACCCTAAACATTATTCTCCATATAATGCACTGGTCAAAGATAGATAAATGGCAAATGGTGAAACTCTAAACCGATCTCCTCTCAGTCTGAGATGCTTTCAATAAATCAACTGCGGACAAGCAATAAAAGAATCAGGTCCCTTGGGAGTAAATGGACAAGGAAATACTTTTCAAAGAGTTAAAAGAGACAAAGTACGTGTCTTTAGATTATTTTTCCCCCTCTATTGGAGAAGAGAATAGAAGAGAGGGGAGGGGAGGGAAGGAGAGAAGAGAAGTCAAATGAACCGGACATAAATGTCATTGAGCGACTCAGTTTCCTTGACCCTTTCACTGTCCTTTCCTTTGGACTTTCATGTACTCAAAATAGAGTCAAGACACACAACACGAGCCCCGCTGGACGGTTTGTGGACACATTCATCGGTGCGCATGCCAACGATCACGCTCACAATCTCAACCTACCAAGGTAACATGCCAGACAAATGCCTGCACTTGATCCAGTTTTATCCAATGCCTCAGAGTATTTAATCATGAAGGACATATGAAGTCCTGATGACACAGTTTTATACATGTCCTTACTAAAAACAAGATACATTTCCCAGAAATTAGTGTAAAATATCTATACTGATGTGTGATGACCCCACCATTTAAACTCATCAAATGATTAGTTACTTTTCCCTTGACCTTTTTCAAATGTTAAAGCAATTTAGTTTAATTCTCTATCACAGTAATCTGTCTAGACTTTGACATTTGTCCTCTTTGCTTTGTTGTCAAAAATTAAGTATTTCTGTGGCTGTCAACATTTCCTACAATGTTTGTAGGAAACATGCATATAAATATAAGTGAACCTCCTCATAAATTTTGATAACTACTGGTTGCAAAGCTGTTCCTGACAAACTCCTCGAGGCCGTAGGCATTTCTATGCCTCAGCATATCCCAGAATTTTATAGACCCTAATGACTTAACAAATAATCGTTAGTGTCCTTATGTTCCAACATGTTACTGTTACTGCTGAATATGCTCTGACTTTTTTCAGGTTCTGTCCCAGCCACGATCTAAATTTGCACAATGTTATCTGTACAATTTTTCATTCACTGAAATATTAAACCAGCTTTATCTCCTCTATGGGATAAAACCATTGTGTTGGTGACCCAATTTAAAACATATCACAATGGCTGAAAATACTTGAAATGAAATCTCAACCGCCATGGATAAAAGTACTGGGAGTCCTCAAAGAGGAAGTAAATGTATTAATTACAACTAGATAATATTTTAAAGTAGAGGAAAAAAACAATATAAAAAAATTCAAATGTTAAGATAAAATTAAATCCTTCTGTGAAAACCTCTTATGCCCTTCCTTTAATTCTGTGAAAATGTTGATAATGACATAATTGTTGTTTATTTCTCGGAAATATTTTGTACAATAGTAAACATTATGTATACAAAACCACCTTGTGTTTTCAGACAACACCTGTTTTTATTATTATATTTGAGTCAAACTGACTATACACAAAGCCATTCAGGTACAGCTGGTTTCTTTTACCCCAATTAATCAGAACACACACCTTGAATTGGTCTACAACGATTAACAGTATTTTTTTATCTGATCTGGTGAATACAGTCCCCTGACTTTCAATAACTCACCAGTCTGGTTTACCTTTTTAAGTCCAAAGAGACTGTGACAATACCTCTGCTCCTTTGAATTTGAATTAATATAATATTTGACTTGACTACTGTTGTCCAAATATAATATTTGACCTGACTATTGTTGTCCAAATGACAACAATAGTCAGGTCAAATATCTGATCTTTGCTCTTTGTTTACGACCAAATTTTGGGGGCTTGTGTATATGTAATACACCTTGGGTTAATATACTATTAAACATTCTATTCATCTTTGAATGAATTCTTCACAGATATATATATATATATACAGCATATATATATACAGCATATATATATATATACAGCATATACATACAGCACATATACATCATGTACATTCAAACAAACTCAAAATTAAACCACTTAAAAATGAAAGGAGGAGACTTATTTACAAGGAAACAAAACTGAAACTCAAAACATGAACACCTTGGAAAAATGTGGAAAAGTTAGAATTGGCCCAAAGTAGATGATGAGGATTTGTTCTCATTTGTAAATGTTTTATTCTAGCCCTACCTACATTCTCTGAATGCCAGTGAAAAAATACCTAAATCCAAAGCTCTAAAACCTTTAGGGCCATACAGTTAAGCTGGCAAAGAGAGGACAATGCCTTGAAGACATAACAATTAAGTTACACAATTTCTTATTTACACAGGTGACTCCTCAAATACTAAAAGGAGTAGAGTATAATCCGGTTATGTAATGTCAAACTTCCTGTGCACTTGTTGGATGTCACTGACAATTTTCAATTTTTACGTAAATATATATCCATTAACATACAGGTAAGGTAGATGCTTGATCTCTATATTTACCAAAAAATATATACCTCTTAAACACTGACAGTACAATATATTTTCACAAAATTAGTGTAATACCAATCCTAAAAAATAAATAAATCAGAATTTCATCAAGATAGGATCAATATTGTTATGTATATACCATCATAATATATATGCTCTCTAATATTAGTAGATTCACACCTGTATGTCTTTATTGAATAATTTTCTTTCATATAGTTTCTTCTTCTTTCATAATGACAAAATCCCAAGACCTTTATACAGTTATACAGTTACCTCGACCGATGGAGACCCAGGCTTTAATTTAAATGTAAGCATAGGTAAGCAAGGTGTTTTCCTGCAATCAACATGTGACATCTGTATAGGTGTTGGAGTCCATTGTCTTTTTGCCTTTGCTACAGTAGAGCTGCAGACAAAAAAACTAACACTCGTAATAAGTTAGTACTAACATTAGTAGCGCTACCGGTTACCGTTAGTCGTTAACCATTATGTCAAGCGTATACTTGCATAGAAGTGAAGCTCGCACGGTCATAGGAAATAAATGACCTGACACGGGTTTTTAACTTTCGATTACGATTCCTTCACCGTCAGACACGCTAGCGGCTAACGTTAAACCTGGCTGAGCTTTTGAATGAGACTTTCCCCGTCGTGCCGTTTGCCGTTGTTCCCGCACAGAAAAAGCTAACCAGAAGCTAATATTAGCCTTTTAATATCATTCTCCTCCGTGTCCTCAAGCTTAGAGTGAGCTAGCAGGCTAGCTCATTTAGCTAGCTGGATACCATTGAAACCAGTTAGAGGACCTGCTTCCGTGGAAGCCAACGGCCCTAGCATTTTTGGCTGTTCCAAAGCGGGATACCCGGTGTCTGAATCTGATATAATGTCTATGCGGCACTATTCGTCTCCTCCTCTTGCATGTTTGGCCTACAGTAAAGCGACAGGGACCGGCTACTGAGAACAACGTGATGGCCTTGGGATTGGTGATGAAACCACCTTGAATTTACCCATTTTCAGCAGCCTCCCTTCCTCCTTTCCGCCCCTCACCACAGAGAACCACAATTACGTACGATACCTTGTATGAGTCGGTCGCTAACATGATGTTGAAGCCGGCGTCTACGTGCTCCATCTTTTCCTCTCTTGGTTGTGAGTCAGTGTCGCAACTGTCAGTATGTTGTGTTACGCGCCTTGCCGACGGAGACTCCAGCCCAGTAGTGAAGCTGGGCAGGGGGAAGGACGAAAGGAGAGCGGCGGGCGGGGGAAGGGGCGGGCCCAATGTCGTCAGCGAAATCGGCTACCCTCGACCACATTCGGCTTTGCTCGGTAGAGAATGGCATTCCACCAATCAGCGGAGTGTTTCGTTTTAATCAAAGATCCTATATCTACGGAAAGATGTCACAACGAAACGATTAAAAAAAGGATATTAATTTTCCTCAATTTTTGGGATCATAAATGTCACTGGCAAATAAATACATATGATACATGAATATTATTTTCATTAAACAAAAATACAAAAAATAATCATTAAAATACATATTTTAAGATATTTAAATGATATCATGCACTTTGAATTCTTGTTTGTTTTTTTCCTTGTTCTTGCTCTTGCATCAAATTGGGATGTTATAATCAAACTCGATTAGGAAAATCCACTAAACCTTATCAGAAATAGTAAACTTTTGTGTGATTGTTTTAGTTTCTATTTCTAAAACACAACAGAGGAGGGCAGTCATGTTTAGCAAATGCTGCTTTAGTGCAGAGTGGAGGCTGCAAGCGGTCATTACAGCTATTAGTCAGATGACCTTTAGCTGTAATACCAGATTTAGCGGGGCACTCCAACTTATCATAGTTGATTATAACCGTGATAATAAAGGTCATTTTAGACAAATATATGCATAGAGGAATAAACAACGTATTTGCCTTAGAAACAATCAGAAATAATAATAAAAAATGGTGTAAGAAAAAAACTGTAAACCAAAGTCACAGCATGTAGACTTAATGTGTCTACTTGATAAAATTACATATGCTTAGCAATGTTTTTTCTGTTCTTCATTCCCATAGCCTTGCTATACAACAACCATGGTGTTAAAGGTCAATTAAGACATTTGTTGTCAAGTCTATTATTTTAGTGACATTTTCTTCTTTTTCCATTGCTGTTACTTTGAGTGATCCACGTTGTGCACCAACATCTGAGTCACTTCTCCATCTCTATGTAAAGTTCCGCGCTGAGCGACGGAAAAAATTCAACGGGGCGGTGAGACATTCCAAACCGCTGGACTGATGCTCTCTTCAGCCTATGGAAGCGATTTTCCTCGGTACTGGCGCGGAGTGGAAGGAGGGGCCAACTAGATGTTTCCGCGTTGGTAAAACGTGTGTCTAATGAGCCAAGCAGGATATATTTAAACAAAGTGTGGGTTTATATGTATATTTTACTGAATTTTTTTCACATTTTTTATGTCTTGGAACCTAAGATGCAGGACGTACCTTTGGTCACATGACGCTCAGCCCGAGCAGTAAATGCAAAGTGCATAGTGCTGCCTTCAGACGCACCTTGGACTTTTTCCAATCAGGTGAAATCGTGCATCAAACCGGGGATTTTTCGGGCACATATGTTGGAATTCGAGCAACGTTTTGACCTGCAGAGTGATGTGGTGTCTGATATTCTCAAGAAGGAGGCGTCGGTCTGCGAGTTGACAGAAGGTGAGGCGTTCAGGTGTCCGTGGCAACACGGCTTTTAGGGATTGTGAACTCTAAAATTTCCGTCACAAACTTAGATTATCGTGATGATGACTGTTTCCTAACACTGCTAGCCAAAATAAATTATTTATAAAAGTTTAAAAAAAAAAACAAAACAAACAAAAATCGATTAAATAACGCCAAAACGTATTGTTTTTAATTTTCATTATTAAGATGAATGACGCCTAACTCCTGTGACTCGCGATTGGTCTGTATGGATTATCGTGGCCAGGGAACACTGAGCAACAAAGCGTTTAAATAATAATGTTAAATTTGTGTTATCTGGAGTTAAAAAAACAGTGTTAATTATCGATGCGCTAAGGTGCATAATAACATGGTAACGGGCACCGTTTTTAACGATATTAATATACTATAGACCAAACGTTAGAAAACAAATTTCGTAAAACACCATGGAATAAGTAAAAACAAGTTTATAATAGCACAAACAAAAAAGTCACGAGTTAGCACTGACAAAAAAACACTTAGTTTGTAGTAAAAGTGTCAACTCAGGCATTTTTATGCCAGGTCGTGAATGTCACACTGCTGATATCATCACTTGCACATATGTAACAGCCACAGTGAAGGAGGGAGGTGGTATTGAACGGGTCTGGGGAGTTTAATAGATTTTATCGAAGAAAGAACAGTACCACTCCACCCCTGCATCATCAGCAGTTTCACCTACACTTACATTCTAAGGAATGTAGATGAAACGGTTGTTTTAGAACGAACTAATGACGTTTGTCCAAGCGTTGGAATAATTACGTACTCAAAAGAAGAGCCAGGTGTCACTGAAATGATATTTGTCTTAATCCCAGACTCTCCCAGGTCTCTCGTTAAGGTATCTTGTGTGGGTGAAATTTAATTGGTCACTCAGAAAAGGGCTTATTCACTATGTGCTCCTACGAAATCAGAATTTCAAACAAATCTTGAAATGCACTGTCTAGCAAAAAAAAAAAAAGTGTGTCATCCCTCAGTTATACACAAGATGGCACCATTTACTCTATATACGTACAATAAATACCATTGAAATACGGTTCTGAAGAAAGAAAGAAAGAAAAATCACAAAAATACAATACTATGAATATTATATAATATTCATGAGGAGACGAATGAAGTATCCTTGATAACTTTAGTATTTTTTTTTTTTTTCTAATTCTTTTCACATTCTTCTACTCCCAACTTTGTTCTTGCCAGTGGGGAGCATGTTCTTTGTGTTGAATTCCTCTTTTTGTTTCTGGTCTAAACATAATAAATATCTAATCTAACCAAAGTCAAACATTGTATTTCCCTATTCCCTTTCGCATTACACAGAGGAGAAGCAGAAGTGGAACTTTAACTGGTCGAGTTCCTGACAGTTTATTTCCTGTGCGAGCATTTGGTAACTAAGTTTCTGGACAAACTAACACAGGCGCTTTGTTCTTGTCTCTGGTTCTCTAGCCACACATCTTACTAGTTTTCCTCCTAGACTATTTGAAGTATTTTGCCAACTTTATTCTCCACAATCTGACACCTCTCTACCTTCTACCCAATAGATCTCACTAATCTTTGGCACCAGAAACTGTTTTGATACCAGTATACCTTGTATATCTTTTTTTTTTTTTTTTTTGCCAGCATCATAATTTATTTTTAAGTCTCAAAGCAGTCCTTTTGATTTAGCCACGCCGGTGTTTTTTGACAGTTAAAACCCTGAATTTACTCCTCGGAAGAAGAGAGGGTATAAAAATATGAACTTTTTTCACTTTTGCTTGACAGCAGTAGTGCTTTACCAACACCCTTAGTTTGTGCAACAACTGAATAAAAAATATATGTTTATGAAAATGATTTTGTTTTTAGTTTATCCAAAAAATACTAAAAACTCTGCATGATGACAGGTGTGGAATACTTTGGAATAGTTGCTGCAATAAAAAAACCCAAACAAGTTTCTCAGAAAACATAAAAAACATTTTTTTAGTGTAGGATCAGTACCGTGTCCTCATGAAAACCAAGGATCTGTTTGTCACTGCACGCTGTTGTTTAGAAATGACGAGCTGTATGGTTTCGTAATAATGATGCTGTGTCTGCAGAATACCACAGTGCAGTGGATGCTCGCATCCTCAATGTACAGAGTGATGGAGGCGTCCTGTACTCATGGAAGGTGAGTCCACCGTGACGACTAAGCACAAAAGGCTATTTCTATCAGCAGAATTATTTGGGAGATTTTTACTTCCTCCCATTCGGCCTTTTTCGCTTTGCAGCTGTAATTGAAACTCTAACGCGCTGGAAATGTGCCGCCTTACCTCCAACCTAAAGAGCCACATTTCCATATTGTATGTACTTGTTTACCGTCTGTCACAGGAAAAGGTTATACTCAAAGGAAATATTCAAATCCTATTTTTTCGCTCTCTGCACGACGTAGTCTGTGTGTTTTTAGAAAACTCTGACATGTTTCAGGAGAATTTGAAATAAAGATGTTTCTCTGCACAACATGAATTTTTAATGATTTTCAGAAGGTTAAAGACAGAGGCGAGCAGCCTGCAATAAACACGAGAATCCAACCCTCTTTTTTAAGTACGGGGTTGACAATTTCATGCATGCCTGGCTGCTGGGTTTAAGAGTTGACCTTGTGTATTTACTTTAAGTCGCCTAAAAACCCTTCCCCAAACAGAGGGCAAATGTGTGGTTTGATGTGAATGTCAGGATTATATTAGGAGGTCGAGTGAGGTAATGAAGAGGTCAAGTGTCCAACTGGCCTTTTGATGGGAAACTTAACTAACCCAGTAGGGGTGTGTATCGGCAAGAATCTGGCGATACGATACGTATCGCGATACAGGGCCATCAACACGATATATTGCGATATATTGTGATACTTTGGGCACAACGATTTATTGAGTTTTTTAAAAATGGTTTAATTGTTGAATTTTCCTACACCCCTATAGTCTCTGTAGGATTTAACTCCCTGGAAGGACATTTTAATCAACCAGGGGAATTTATTTGTTCTTTCTGTTGTGGTTTCCGACAGGGAGCTACAGGGACAACCAGGATTGGGAAATACAACCGCGGCACCAAACAAAACCAGGTATTGTTTGTGAGTCTTATTTCCCTCCAGTGCTGCAGAATACCTGCCCTGCTCATTTACATTGGGCTGCATTTTGTGTCGCAGCTCCTGTACTCGTTTGACAAGCAGGTGTGTGTCAGCAGCTGTTCCCTCAACCAGGAGGAGACGTTGTTGGGTGAGCTTTGTGTGATGCACAGATAATGAATTATCAGCAGCAGACGCTGTTAGCAACGCCGTGTTCTTGGCCCAAAATCAATCGGAAAAGTGTCAGTGTCTGGAGAGCAGTTCGGGAAGCATTTCTGCAACATTAACGTCTCGCAGAATAAAAAGCAAAGAGGGACGCGTTGAGATCTGCCGAGGTGCCAGGCTCATGTTCCAAAAAAAAAAAAAAGAAGATAATGTCTTTGAATCATTGTTGTCTTTGTGGGGTATAAAAAAAGGCTTTATGAAGTCATGTCTCACCCTGTCTTTTCTCCGTCTCCTCTTTAGCTGTCAGCCTGGTGCAGAACACCCGAGGAGCGGAGCACCTGAGACCAAGTAACAACCGCAATCTCACTTCTCTCAAACTTCTATTTCCAGATAAAAGTGTTCAGATCTTTGGAATTGTCTGGTAATTCACCCGTCGCATCCTGGGTTTGTAACAGTGTCTGGTTTTTGTAGTGTCCAAGTGTCTGACTCTGCTGATTGAGATCCGTCCCATCAACAACACGAAGGTCCTCAAAGCAGTAGACTGCAGGGTCAAAGTGCAGGTACAGTGTGTGTGTGTGTGTGTGTGTGTGTGACTGTTTTCCCGGCTGCTTTTTGTCACTTTTTACTGCAGCCACACGCTGACGTTGCAGTTATGGAGCACTGGAGATCGCAGTGTAAAAGTGCCATACTCCATTTATTTTATAAGCGTTGCCTCAAGTGCACTGATCTGTGGTGCGCTATTCTTTCCCTCTCTCTCTTAATCCCTGGGTCTCACTGTTAAAACCGCAGACCTGTCTGAGCGTCGCGGGTAATCGTGTGTTCATTCAATCAGTGGAGAAATATGAACAATTTCTGCCTAACAATAAGAACATGTGGCTGTGGAGTCAGTGCTTCTGAGCTGCACAGCATGAAAAAAATCATGTTTCTTCTGCATAAGAACATGTGGCTGTGGAGTCAGTGTTTCTGAGCTGCACAGCATGAAAAAAAATCATGTTTCTTCTGCGAAAAAAAATCTCTTGCGTCCCACTTCAGGGTCACGACCCAGTCTTTGGGAAACAATGAACTAAGGAATGTGACCCAAAATTACAGTTGATTTGGTTTAATGCATGAAACAGAAGGATTGACATTGGTCTTTACTGGGGATGTGCGATATTTTTTTGGAGATATCCGATCTGCCGATATTGTCCAAACACTTAATTTCCGATTCCGATATCAACTGATACCGATATACGAGTCGTTTCATTGTGTGCAGTGGTGAGCTGTGTCACTTTTGTCATCTTGGCCAAACTCTCCGAAAAATCGGATTTTCATTATCGGATGAAAAAACGTAATCGGATTTTCATTATCGGATGAAAAACCGTTAACGACTCTTGCCGATATTACATAATTAAGCTAGTATCGGCCGTTAATATTGGTTGGCCGATATCATCGGACATCCATAGCTTGTACCAGTGTTCTGCCTGCCGAATTACAAAGGCCAGCGGTCCATATCTGGCCCACGGGCCGTAGTTTGCCCATGTCTGTGTTAATAGATGGTATGGTAATTGTAAATCGTCCAACAGTGCCCTCTAGAGGATGATTGAGTGCTGACTAAGCACCCAAAAAATCTGAAATGTCATGGATATGTTTTGAGCCAATACCTAAAAAACTACAACCGGCACTCGGCGGTCAGCCAGGTATTTATGGACAGAACTTTGGTGATGATGTGTCTCCGCAGCACTGCAGTACTTCATCAAAAAGTGTTTAGTCAACATTTTTTTTTATCTTGATCCCATCAATGCAGAATAGTTTCACATTGATATTCCAGTAATTCATCTACTCTGTCTGAGGAGTTCTGACTGCTGCGTCTCCTCGTCCCCCCCCCCCTCCTGTCCCCCAGTTCCTGCAGCAGGACACAAACAGGAGGTCGGTGCTGGAGAGTCACCTGCTCCTGCTGACAGAGGACGGCTGTGAGTCTGTGTGGTTTCAGCTTTTTTTTTTTGTTTAAATATTAGTAATAACCTGGGCTGTAGATGATTAATCACAGGTTAGGTGAGGCTTAATCACGATTAATCACGATTAATCGTGATGTTTAAACCAGTGGTTGTCAACCTTTGTTGGCTCGGGACCTCATTTTGACGTAACCATTTTTGGATCACGTGACATTTCTGTCATGTGATCGGAGCTGTCAATCAAGAAAGTGAAAGAAAACAGTTGTTTAAGATTGTGTGTGGTATTTTAATTGTAATTTTAAAAAGAAGATCAGTTATCAGTCATTTTATTTTGGAATCAATTACCTGACGTTTCTACCCCATTTGAATTCCGGACCTCATGTGAGGTTGCGACCCCAATGTTGAAAAACACTGGTATAAACATTTTAAGATTTGACCAAAAAAACTTTTTTTTGAAAAAATATATATATTACTGTGACATAGAGACATTTAACAGCAGGTAGATTTATGTTCATTCATCAAAAATCATGGAAAAGTGTTACCACAAATGTAATAAATAATTGTGGTAAATGAATTGTGTTTCAGATGCAGATTTGTACCACGTTCTGCTGACCAAACAGGAAGGTTACAGAGTGGTAAGGTGTTTTCTTTTTCTCTACAGGAAGTTTTTAGCGCTAATGCTAATGTTGTTTTTTCAATAGCCTGGAGTTTTGCTTATTTCTGGAGCCGAGCATTCTTTTTAGGAGTTGGCGTGTCAAACGGCTAATGAGTAAAATGTACTCACACATCCAAGTGCCGGTGATAGATCGCGTTGACCTCATTCTGAGGCTATAAACTACACCGCTAGCTCCTTCTCCCAAGGAGCTTGGCATTAAGAATTCAGAGTATGCTATGCTGAATATGAATAGAAAACGTATGTGTGTCATGCAGGTAATAGCCAATCCAGAGCGTCTGGCCAGAACTGTGGAGAGAATAGTGGAGGACTTTAGTTGGGTCCAGTGGGATGGACACACTCAAAGACTCTACTATCTCACACACAAGGTAACACACACACCCACACAAACTGAAGTGAAAGACCACGCTCACAGTCGGGGCAATTAATCGATTAGTAATCAGCGTCTGAATGAATCGCCAACCACTTTTACAATCAATAGTTTAAACGTTTCTGCAATTTCGTCTTAAATGCTTTGTTTCTGCACAACGAACGTTGAAGTGAATATTTTACCGTGTGAAGAAAATAAGAAAATCCAGGTTGTTGTTATGGTGAAGTTTGGACTTGGAGACGAGTTCCTATCATTTTCTGACACTTCTGATGCAAACAAAAAAAACAAACAAAAAAAAACAGAACAAAACACACAGTTGCCAATTACATGTCCTTCACAGGACCATTATCTGCTGCGATGCGTGCAGTTTTACCCCAGCCACCATTGTGAAACAGTGGTAAGTCTGGTCTTTGTCTCATTATTCTAACGAATCGTCCGACTCTTTCTCACCCTCTGAGCCGTCAGTTCATAATAACACACCATTATATTCCTTTATGTTGCTGTCCAACAGATGGAGCTCCCCTTAGAGCTGCCTGCCAAAGCTTTCCCCACAATCAAGTAATGCACCAGCTACTATAACCACAGCTCCTCATTCTGTGTGCTGCATTTAAATGTGGGACTGAAGAGACAAATATCACTTCCTGTACACACTCCATGCTGTTTTTAATTAGCGCTTATTCGGTTTCTGTGTGTGTGGAATAACTGTGTTGTGATGCATGTGTGTGGTCAACAAACAGGTTTGTTAACTTGGGCTTCGACCACTATCATGTGGAGAAACCAGAGACAGAGCTTGTCAGGATGGAAGTGTTCACAAACAGAATTGGTAATGAACACACCCACACACACACTCACACTCACACACACACACAGTGTCTGTTTTTTATGGGTTTTGAGTACTTCACATAGATGTATTTCCCAGCCCTGTGCTCTAACCTCATCTACTACAAATTTATGCCTCATCTTAATCTTAATCCTAGATCTAATCTCACATTAGTCCTCATTCTAACTCCAAATGAAACCCTGAACCTCACAATATCCTCCGCCCCCGGTGGCCACCTGCGAAAATGCACGTCAAGGACAAAGTGTCCCCACTTGCCCACGGCCATGGTGTTTTTTCAAAACAAGTCCCCACAAGTATAGATATACCAGGAAAACTCACACACTCTTACACACAGACACAGCCTTTACATTAATAATGTGCTTTCACACATGTTCTCTCTCTTAGACGTGGTCGATGTGATCTGTTGGTGATGTGACTAATATTTCAGTGTGTGTGTGTGTGTGTGTGTTTGTGTGTGTTTTTGTCCCTTTTTCAACACAAGAACGTAAGTTTACGTTTCACAAATCTGAAGTGCTTTTTCAACACAAGAACGTAAGTTTACACACAAATCTGAAGTACATGCTGGTGGAGGATGATGTTACAATGCAACACAATAACAGTGTGACGTTCCATTCTGATTGGATCATTTCTATAGTATATGATGATACAGTGTGATGTGCATGTGATTTGTCTGGTGGCAAAATTAAATGTTGACCAATGGCAAACGAACAGACTTACAATGTCATCATAGTGATTTTATTCATTGAATAATCAATTTGATTGGTTTATGACTGTGTTGATTGAGTTTGTGATGAACAAAAGTGGAATATTTTAAAAATGACTTCCACGGTACACATTAAGTATACAGATTAGATTAGATTAGTGGAAGGCTAGGTGCAAAGCTAAAGGTTAGCCAGATTAGGGTTGAACGATAGCTGTAAATAGCTAAAAACAAAATTTTACATTTACTCCAATAAGAGGACAATTAGTGAAGAATAACAAGATTTCTTTGAAAATAGTTACTGGATAACAAAAATCTAACATTTATCCAAAATATTTGCTCAAAAATAGCTAAGACTTTTAGGGTGAGGTTATAGCTAAATGTTAGCTGGATAACCGTGAAGAAAAACTGAGCTAAAAGTAGTAAGAAATGAGCCGTAAACATAGGAAAAATAGGCTAAATTAGCGTATTTAAGGTGCACTACTATGATCAGAAGTAAAACTTTTTATCTTTTTTTTTTTTCATCAGGGAGCATGTGTGTCTGCTACAGCCAACTACTCCAAGACAGACGGGACAGACAGACAGGCACAAGGGAAGTGATGTACACGGTAGTTCTAGTACACAAAGGTGAGTACTGTACAGTATCTACAGTACATCTCTGTACCAGTTTTATTTTTTTATCTCGAGCACATGACATTTTTCCACTTCTTGCAGACTGCAGCAAGACTTTCAGAGTCTCTCTGGATGGTGAGCAGCTGCAGCAGGAAGTCACTCAGCTTCATCCACTCTTCATCCCCATGGGTCAGTGTTCACACAGGCACAAAACACACACACACACACATCAACACACTCCTGATACTGTATATTCAATCGAGTGTGTGAAGGTGGCTGCCAAACTACGACTCAGAGTTTAGTGTCTGTGTCCTCTTATCGCCTGCTAAATGTCTCCTCGTCATATATCACAACTGTCGTAACGCCGTGTTATTCTGGTATGTAGGTTACTACATCCTGGTGTATCTGCAGGATCATTTCCTTCACTGTGTCAACACCAGGCAGGAGGAGATGATCTGTCACTCCCTCTTCTTCTCCGGTAAGACGAGGACTTACAAATTACAAATCGTGTCAAAGCTGAAAGATGGATGACGTGTAACAGCTTTATTCTCCACTTCACCCACGGCTCATATTTCTGCCGTAAGAGTGGAAATGTAGAGCTGTCATCGGTATAAATGACTTCTTCTCCGCCCGCGTTTCAAAGGTCGGGATGTGAACCTGGGCCTGCCGCGCGGGTCCGCTGACGTAACAGTGTTGCATTCGGAGGAAGAGCCCCGCGGGACTTTGCTGGACCTGGGCAGTGGAGAGATCCACGCAGCTGAGCTCAGCCCTGCGTACCTGCTGCGGATACTGCACTCACACACACCCACTAGGTGAGGCTCCAGAACTGCAGAGTCTACAGTTAAATCGAAAAGGTTTCAGATTCCATAAGGTGTGAACATCCAAAGGCAAATGGCCACCCAGTGGTGTGAACATCCAAAGGCAAATGGCCATCCAGTCTTCAAAAAATAAAAAATAAATAAAAAAAAATAAAATTATAAACCACTTAGTCTAGAAATAGCTGATGGTGAAACAAAATTAAAAAAGCTAATGCTTTTGCTAGCCACTGGCAAAACTAAAGCAAAAGACACTAGTTTGCTGTAAAACAGGCAAAATATATTTTTGATGGAATAATGAAGAACAATTATCAATTAATATGACTAAATATTAAGCAACAAATTAGCTAAAATCATATGGGAACTAACCAAATATAAGTAATAACAAGAGCAGAAAGAGTATCAAATGAATAATTAAATGCAAAAAATAACAAAAATATACAAAATAATTTACGTAAGACAGGTATTACATGTAAGTAGCAGTGATAAAAAAAATAGAAATCCTTTAAAGTAATAAAAAAATTATAAAAAAGCTGAAATTAAGCTTAAAGATACAAAAGTGGAAACACATTATTTCCACAGTCTTCACATGCATGAATAAATTTGCTGATATTTAATTTTCAAAAATTTGGAGATTCCTGTACGTTGATTGACATTGGAATAGAAAAAAAAATCCACCCACATCCCAGTGCAGCCCTTGACTGTTGGCTGTCTTCCTCTGCATCTGCCTCCTTATTTGCATATGCTTATGTTGCATATGGTACATTCCTGGTGTGTCACCTCTCATCTAAGCTACAGTGGCAGCAGCAGCAGCAGCAGCAGCATGGCTCACCCTCAGCACCTGGCCGCCCTCCACTGCCTGCTGGTTTACATGGGAAACGACCCAAACGTGGAGCTGCAGGTACAGATCTATAGAAATATCGACATGTTTATGCAAATTTATGGCAACAGTAAAGCTGCGTTGCCAAACTTCCACATAATGTTTCCCTCAAGTGAAAACACCCCCGATCTTCCTGGACTAAAGGAATCCAATAGGCTGATATTGTCCTAACACCTAATATCCGATTCCGATATCAACCGATACCGATAAATGCATCTGTTGTTCCTCAAAACTGCAGTAAACGTCTCAGGGCCCCACAAGTGATTCCAGGATATTTGGCGAAACCCAGGCATCATTTTATCTGATTTTCATCATCGTAGGGAAAACCCGATAACGATTCTCGCCGATATTACATAACTATGCTAATATCGGGCTGATAATATCGGTCGGTCGTTATTATCGTACATCCATAATTACAAACAGACTTAATTTCCTGTAGGGCAACAATCCATCGTGAGATAAAATATTTTAAACTGGAATCCGATATATCGTCCAAACACCTTATTTCCGATTGGCGATATCAACCCATATTGTGAGATAAAATATTTTAAACTGGAATCTATATATCGATATATTGTCCAAACACCTAATTTCCGATTGGTGATATCAACCCATACCGATAAATGCATCTGTTGTTCCTCAAAACTGCGGTAAACGTCTCAGGGCCCCACAACTGATTCCAGGATATTTGACGAAACCCAAACATTGTGTCATCGGATTTTCTTCAACCCAAACATTGTGTCATCGGATTTTCCTCATCGGAGGAAAACCCGATAATTATTCTTGCAGATATTACATAACAATGCGAATATCGGTCAGCCGCTGTTCTCGACATCCCTAATTACAAACAGCCTTAATTTTCTGTGGGGCAACAATCCATCAGGAGATAAAATATTTTAAACTGACACAAAAAAATCAGATGAGAATATTTAAAAACAATCATCAAAATGTAAAAAAAAAAACCCAAAAAAACAAAAATCACATGATACCTTCTGGGAAATGAGACAGACATGTTATTTGGAACTGGCGCCGACAATGACTCAGACTCTATTAGTGGATCTCCTAAATGAAGACGTTCCAGCTGCTCTGAGAGTTTGTAATAAAGTCTTTCTTTGGAGGTTAAATGAGTCACCAGCTTCATTACTGCAGATAGTGCTGGGAAATTAGACACCACCCGTAACTTTGGTATTCTTCTTAGAGTCTATTAATGGAGCCGCGCTGCATTTAAAGTCGTCACTTTAATAAAGGTGATTGCCTATAGTTGAACTTTTCTCCGTTGTTTGGAGTCCGTGCAAAATGAATCCCCCAGCGCCACCTATAATCAATTTTTTTTTCTCCTCGGTGTTACAGTTATTATTATTATTAAGCCTAATACTTTGAAAATTACAGCAGTGGGCTGCCATATTTCTGCACAATGCAGGGGGAAATTTGCAGGAGAAAATGAGTTTCGCTCCGATGCACACTGGCTTTAAGATTCTCAGGGCCTCGTCTTTGACGGCGAATTAATATTTCATATTTCTGTTGTGTAAACAGTGAGTGCACAGTAAACCACTGCAGAGAGATGATCCAAATATATATGTGTAAAAAAAGAAGCAGCAAACAGTTCTTATCAGGCCTTAGGCGGTGATTAGTTGTCAGCCTCGAGCCGTGCGGTCGCATCAATCTCTTTGTCCTAATTTCAACAAGATAGCAAATATTTCCATTCATCTGTTAGCCATCCGTCTTCCACTGCTTATCCAGTTAAGGGCTGTGTGGGAGCTGGGCCCGGTCCCAGCTGGCATTGGGCGAAAGGCAGAGTGCACCATGGGCGTTGTACCGACCTTTCTGAGAGAGCCAGCCTCCGAAGATACAGAGAGAGAAAGAGAGAGAGAGAGCAAAATCCACAGCAGTTTATATTAAATCAAAATCAAATCAGTTTCATTTGCATAGGAAAACAATTTTTGCCTCTGGTGCAGAATACATCAGATAATATTCTCTGACTGGGTGAAAAAAATAAATATATATTTGAAACATTTTTATGGAAAAATAACTGGGACGACACTGCTGAGGCAGCTGTTTTTATCCACAGTTCATCTCCGAGTGACCTTTCACAATGTTGCTTCGTTGACAGAACCTGCTGTAGTTTGAGCATAATGCTGGTAGACAGGAGAACAGGTGAGCTTTTGCGTTGTACGGTACAGTCGCTGGCTGTGACGCAGTTAATAAAATCCAGAAAATGTGCTGTCGTATTTGGGTCCGGTCCACGGTTTGTGAAATGTCCTGACCATGACCACGACAAATGTTCTTGTTCTTGTTTTTTTTTAGACACGTTGAAAAAAAAACATACGTTCATGCAGATTGAACTAGCGAGTCATTTCTCCTTAGAAATGACTTAAAAATGACATTAAAAGAAAATACAGGTAGAGGGCAGCATTTCTGCAAATCAGCACAAATCCATACATTTTCAGTGGAGTCAACAAAAAGCACCGGTGTTACTTTTGTTTTGGTTTTTTTTAGTTGCGTAAAGTGGTTCTCAAACTGTGTACACCGTTAGTGTTACGCAAAATATTTGCCTTCCGATGTACCGTCAGCAATTCCACATAGCAGCGCAGACATACTTAATAAAGCTAAAGCCTAATAAAGCTATCGTTAGCCCCGTTACTAGCCAAATTCAACCCGTACAATTCCACATAGCAGCGCAGACATACTTTGTTCAGTTCAGCACAAAATTTGAAGAAAATCATTTTATGCTAATAAAGCTATCGTTAGCCACGTTGTTAGCCAAATTCAACCCGTAGAACTAGCTTACTACAACATTTAAATTTAAATCTGATTTATCTAATCCTAATCAGATTAGGTGAGCGTACCACCAGAAGAGGCCCAAGTACCACTAGTGGCCCCCGTACCACAGTTTGATATCCAACACAACCAAAAAGGCTTTTGCGCTAAACCTTCAATGCCTAAAGTCAACCAGTCTGTCCACTTGTCGTCCTCACGCTGTGACTTGTCTCCCATGTGTTTCCATCATGCTGCAGGTTATTGATTGGCTTTGCAACAACGCCGTCGCCAACGTCGACTCCTTCGATCGGATCCAGGAGTTCATTCTCGGTCAGTGGCAGCCCAAGCGTGAAGCTGGACACCGGTCTCACATTCCGTCCTTCACAGTCCAGCACCTTTCTCTCTCTCTCTCTCACTTTTTTTTTTTTTTTTTTTTAATGCCTCATCCTTAAGTGCCTGGACTCCTGCACCACGTGTCTGCACAAAGCTGTGCTATTTTATCAACTATGTTGAGCTTTCACATTTTCATCCTGCACACTGGGGCCCACGAGTCCCATGCGGGTCTGAGGAGTCAGAAAATAGATGCAGTTTATTCTGAGACCGGGAGCAGGAGAGTGAAAATACAGTCAACACCTCACAGTCCACTGTGTTTTTCTGACATTCTGTCGACTGAAATCGACTAAAAAAAACCAACATTTGTTTACATGACTGAGAAGAGTCCGTCGCATTAGAAGGCAGACGATGTTTAATCACCAACAGAATGATTAATAAAGCAGAGGTGGTGATTAAGAAGTCAGTCATTTGTCATATTAATGAGCATTGAACTCTGCTGTTCTTATTTATCTGTGTGGAAATGTTCCAAATACAGACAGGACTCTTGTGTTTCCACAGCCTCGTTGTACAGAATCAGCTACGACAGGTCCCTGAGCCTCGACAAGGTTCTGCCTTACTCCTCCGTATTCGACATGCAGGTACTGAACACACTTATAAATACACATATTTACTCATGCTTAAGGGCATTAAAAGGGATCCACGCACGGGAGGCAAAAAATAGTCCAAACCCTCTTAGGAAACTTGGGAACCGAGTGTGACTGCACGTGTCCTCCCCGCGTTCTTATCTGTGTTTTCAGGAGCTGCCACAGCGTCTGCTGGAGATCCCTGGTGTTTTGTGCAGCACTGAGCTGCATATTAAGGCCGCACTGAGAGGGAAGGTAACGCACAGCGTCTCCCAATTTTTCTCACCACATATTTGTTAGAATTATAATTAGAGGATATACCGTGTGCATGTGTTTAATTTATCATTATGGCACGCCAGCGCCTTATTGTTATCATCGGTTCTGCTCCAATTCTAAAAGCAATACTTAAAATATGATACATGTTTTTTTTTTTTGGTGCATTTGCGTAGAAAGAAAAAAAAAGACTAAAGGCTGCAGCTGATTTTATACATTTACTGGGTCTGTTTGAATGGAATCCTGTCGCAATTGTTCTCAAATGTTTTATGGAATGTCCTTGTTTTGTCACTTTGGTCCTCCGTGCGTGTGCGTCTCCAGGGTTTCTGGGCCGAGCTGCAGTGGAACACAGAGAGGACAAAATACCTGGAGGCTGTTCCCAACCCCAGATACAAAACCTCACAGATAAAGGCTGAGTGGGACAAACTGGTGTGTGTGTGTGAGTGTGAGAGTGTGTGTGTGTGTGTCCAGTGGCATAGCTGCAGGAACACGGTACCAGGAGCACATTTCCCACTCTGACACGACTCTGCTGCTCCTTTCAGAGGTCCAAGAGGAGCCCGTCGAGCTGCATGAATCACATTGAAGAGAACACAAAGAAGTAGGTCTGACTCCCACTGGAGCTTTGTTAAGAAAAAGAAGCAGAGATTCAAAGAGTGCTGATACTGGAGGCGAAGAAAGCGCGAGTGGAACTTTGCACTGTGTTCCCATCTCTGTGAGATATATGGGTTCCATTAATTAGCGCTTTACTGCCATAATTTTTTTTAGTCCACGCAAGGCCCGAAACTGAATCACCGCTGGGTCAGTTACTTTAAAGAGGAGGAGACATATTTTTTTCCTCAGTGTTCAGCTGGAGTTTAGAGTTTAGCCAGATATTTTATTCAGTTAAAAAATGCAGTAAAACCTCAAATTTGTAGCTGAGTATTGACCTAGTATCTTTTTTTCGCCAAGCCAAAAAAGAAAAGAACTTGGAATATTTTGTCTCGCCAAATGTCAACTCCAAAAATGTCATGAAGGTCACATTTTTCTCTAGATCATGTGACCCTTTTCTGCACCAACATTTTAAGTGTAGGTGATCAATGTTGTCTTCTCTCCTCTTTGTTACAAGCCTCAAATGTTGAAGACATATGGACTGCAGGCAGGACAGTCAAACTCGGTTTAAGACGTCCTCGACCTACAGCGATTTGTGGTTACATCGGCATCTCCTATAAATTTATTTCCTATAAACGTATCACTTATAAATATATTAAGGAAGTCTTGTTCGACCATACGCAGATGATGACTTTGTTTACATTCGCCCGTTGTACAGATGCAGTGCATTGGACACTACATTCGTGTAGTTTTACAGAGACAAAAACACCGCATGTCTTTGGATTGCCCTTAATTTTATAAAAGGTTATTTAAGGCTTAGAAATATCTCCATTAAACATCTTTAATAATTATTCTCTGAAACAGCCGGGCGCTTTGATTTCACCCATAAAGAAAATTACAAGTAAATTGTTGACAGTTTATCATCGATTCACGCCTCGTTTTATTTCGCTGTTGTCTAATAACTCCACCGTGGCTCCTGCGCTCATCAATAAAAGTAATGCGAGTTTTGTGGCCGAGCTAGTACATGTATTTGGAGTATTTGATGGGACAGAAAATGAAGGAAGAAGAAAAAACAACATTAAGCGAAGTTTTTTTTTCTTCTTCTTTTATCAGTTTTGGATCAGATCCACACTCCTAATGTTGTTACATCGCGAATCCACTCGGATAATAAAACATAATTTAATATCATAAAATTTTTATAGCGGTGCGTCTGGGTCTGTGTTTTAAAGAAGCAGCACTTGAAATGATCACACTTATTTCATTGCTTCGATACTTAAACGGAATAAGATTTGTTTAATAATTAAAGTCTTTGATTTGCAGTTTCATGTGGTTAATATGCAAATCACAAAGGTGTGTTAAAAATATATAAGTGGTCATAAAAATGCTAACTGGACTAGAAACTTTCTGAAATTGACAGTTCTTTTTTAACAATTAAAAGTGTTGTTTTTTTTTTACACTGTAAATGTAGCAGTTTAACAGTAGGAGCTGGAACGTCTCCTGCCAAGGTTTCCCCCTCTTAGATTTGTCTTCATCTCCTGCTTAAAAGCTAAAGAAAAATTCAGGAATGCTCAACTTCTATTAGCATGACGCGCCAGCTCACCTGGCCGCTCTTTGAACTTCAATTATTCACTGGGAATTAAATTGCGAGTACGACTTGCAGACCCTGAGCCGCTAATGATAAGTGACAGGCGCATACTTCATGTAAATCTGCGGCGAAAAAGAAACTCCATCCTGTTTGTGAGGGATAATAATTAGCTTCTCTGCCTTACGGGCCTTAACTTTCACACCTGCTCATGAACCGTTTGATTTTATGGAGTTTTTGATTTATTTTATTATTTATTTTTTTTCCCTCCCAACAGCAGCGGCGTACACTCGCACACACTGCCTGAGCCGTAATGGAGTAAAAAAAAAAAAAAAAGACTTTTAGTTTATTACTGGCTTCAGGGGTTGTTTCTCACACAAACATTTTTTTTTCTTGCAGAGTTCTGTCCATGGTGGATACCTGGTGTCTAGGTACGAGCTCACTGAACTCTCGCACTTTCACAAACAAGGACGGTGCAGTAATCCATACATGCAATATTAACACTGGTAGGCACGTCAGTACGAGTGGAGAAAAACAAGAAAACCTTGAACAATAATGGAAAAATGGTTGTGGGGGTTGTGTGCTTTTCTGAGGGTGTGTTCTTCATGCCCACTGGAGAATTCAGCTGAACTGAAGCGCTAATTTATCTTGGAGGCTGAGGAAGGGAGGGAGGGAGGGAGGGAGAAAAAAAAATGGAGGAGAGGATGGATAATGAAGAGAAAGCACAGCACAGAGGAGAGGTGAAAAATGTCAACATTATATAACAGCGTGGAGTTAGGTACTTTCTTTTCCTTCTTTTTTTTTTTTATTTGCACGTGTCTCTCGTGACTCTGACGCAGCTGCTCCGTGTCGGGAACAACAGAGACCCTCACCTCATCTCAGTCGCTGCACATGGATGATCTCATGCAACCAAACCGACTCCCTCAGACCCAGTCGTAAAAGTCCAGCTCTGGACAGTCTAATCCCTTCTCCTGATGCTAGCTAGTCTAGTTCCCAGAATGCTCTCACCAGAAATATTGAACAGACTGCAACAACTATTTTTCCCCCGATACAGAATAAAACTAAACTGCATATATTTTACACATGCAGAATTACACTGCTGCAAATAACCATACGATGTTAAGCTCTGGTGGGCCACATGAACTGATGTGGCGGCCTGAATTTGGACCCCTGCCCTCGAGTTTGACAAGTGGGTTAGTCAACTGTTTGTCTGTTTTGGGTCGTAGCGCAATGTTGTTATTGATTTTGCGATGACAGTGAATGTCGACTACAATGAGATCAGATGGATTAGTGCTGGCAACTTATTAAAAGTTATTACCGTATTATCTATAGTATAAGTCACATTTTTTTCTCATCCTTTGGCTGGGTTTGCGACTTATACTCAGGTGCGACATATAGGTGCGAATTATATATTGAAATATATAATTTCACATGTCACTCTAGGCTTGTGTACCAGTATCTGCTAATGCTGTACCACTGAAAATTTACATGTTCGTTATTTTTACAATGACAGCCACTAGAGGGCACTCTAGGCTTGTGTGCTAGTATCTGCTAAAGCTGTACCACTGAAAATTTACATGTTTGTTATTTTCACACTGACAGCTGCTAGAGGGCGCTCTAGCTGGTTGGTGCGACTTATACTCCAGAGAGATTTATAGTCTGGAAAATTTGGTTGATTACATTTTGACGCCTGAAAACTTCTCAGAAACCGATGGTGCTGAGATATGATTCATGGGTTTAAAGGCTTTGATCGTTAGTCACAGGTGTGAAACGAGTTTCTGCTTGAACGCTACTTAACAGTAGGTCGTCCATGAAACAAATTAGACGGAATTTTCTATGAGATCAGTGAGCCTGTTGAACCAATCATCTGAGCCCAAACTACACAGTTTGTCATTGAACTCCAAAGAGAAACCGTACAAAGCAGCGACTTAAATAGTCACAGTAACAGATCTGTTTAAAACACAAAGACTCAAAACTGATTAAAGAAAATTTAGAAAAATCGAAGGTTAGAAACAATACAGGATTTCAGATTGTAGCACTGCAGAAGTTATCTTTCTCAAAACTGTTTGTCAGTGGGAGGATAAAGCCCTCTTGGGGCCGTCTTCTAACCCCCAACGGAAACACTGTTGTTTTGAAGGTTTTTTTTTTTTTTTACTTTCTGATGTTTTTTCCCCACTTTTAAAGATTCAGTTTGAGCTTCAACTTCTTATTCTTTTATTTTAAAACAATACTTTTTCTCTTTTTTTTACATTTGACATATCTTTAAAATACTTCAATAACACTGACATATTAAAGATGAAGCAGAACTGGTTCAAAAGAGCCCAGACAGGGTGGTTCCAGAACCACATATTTTGCCTAAAAAATGTCAAATTTAACCCTGTGTTTCTACTTTAAACGAACAATCACATCAAACAAATTTGAAATAAGCAAAAGAAAAATCTTCTTATTGCGACTGAGAAAAACAGTCTTTGGTCAATATGACTGTACAACATTCAGAGCAGGACCCATAAAGGTCAGCTGGCTTGGGGTCAAGACCCCAAGTGTTCTTGGGAGCAGCCAGTGTTGGAACTTTATTGATCCCAAGCTGGGAAATTATAGATAATTAGTGACATTATTGTTGATACCAAGCTGGGAAATTATAGATAATTAGTAACATTATTGTTGATAATTATCGTATTCATTATCGTACTCTCTACGTCAGGGGTGTCAAACTCATCTTCATCTGGGGGCCACAATAGCAATACAGCTCCCCTTGCTGGTTGTAACTGGAAAACTGTATAGATCAGGGCTCCCCAACCCCCGGTCCGCAGACCAGTACTAGTCCATAGGTCACTTGGTACAAAAATGTACCGAAATTTTTACTAATTTTCTTCATTCAAAGAAAATATCTATCATCATATTCATTTACTTTCATTATTTAAAGATAATCGTAGGTTGAGAAACTCTGCTTCATGGATTTTACCAAGTGCTTTTTAAGCTCCCGCGGGCCACATACATTGGCTTGGTGGGCCACATTTGGCCCCCGGACCTTGAGTTTCCATCACTCCGTCACTGGTTTCTGTCTGTGGAATAGTGAAGAATTCATCGCTAATTCTGTTTTAAGTGTTGCACCAGTCGCATCGTTAAGTGATTAATTTGTGTAAAAAACGACTCATTACAGTTTCTTCCATCCGGCCCTAATGGACCACTTCATCTGATGGGACGCAAATTCACCCCAATAAATTCTGAGCACTGAGTCCATGAACCAACACTTGGCATTTTGCTGGATTCTGTCCTTCCTGCATACTGTAGTGTACAGCACAATATAAGGACGGTGCTCTGCGCTCTGTATGTGTGTGAATAACTGATCAGAAGATGGCACTGAGGTGAGGTTTTTTTGGCGACTGACATAACATGACTGCAGTCGCCGTGTACACACACACACACACACACACACTCACAGCAGGACTGCTCTCCGAGGTTTGGCCACACACACACTCACACACTCACAGCAGGACTGCAGTGTTGAATCTCCGAGGTTTGGGATGTACAGTATTTTTAAAAGTAAATCCTCCTCTCCCAGAGGAATCTATAAATGTCTCAGATCCATCTTCCTCCTCCTCCTCCTCCTCCTTTTTTAAGTCTTTATCCAAGTCATAAACAAGTCAGAGGTTTTGGTTTCCTCCACTCCAGCTGACGGCTGGTTTAATGATGTGACCGCACTGACACACCGTAGGCTGCACCTGAGAGGACGGACTCTTCTCACCTCACTTTTTATGTCTCTGTTTCCTCCTCTTCTTCAGATAAGAAGCTGGTGCCACTTTTCCAGGAGGAGGACTATCAACAGAGGGCGCTGATAGGCCTGGTGAGTGTGGGTGAGAGAGAGAGTGAGAGAGAGAGAGAGAGTGGGGGACACAAGCATGGTCAGGTGTCCTGTTTTTTAAGGTTTTTCTACAGGGGAGTGGAATTCAGGTTAACACAGTTTCCACAGTGACAGTAAAATTTAAATGCCATATTTTCACAGTCACAGACTGAATAAGAACTCAACGGAACATGAAAATATTCAAAAAGCATTTTGTTGCCTTGAATACGCTCCAGAACAGTCAGCGTTTTCAGACAGCATTCTTGTTCATTCTCCACTCTGTGAAACAGCAGCTTGACATTTACCTAGAAACTGCAAAGTTCACCCTGGGAAAACACTTGACATGCACTGAGAGGAGGAGGTCATTAGAGGCCGGAGACAACCGTTAGCAGCCACATGTTTGTTACACTGCCGCCACATGGACCACAAACAAAAACAGGAGAAAATAACAACAGTAAACAGCTCCAGGTGTAAATGTCTAATTCAGCCTAGTCTAAAATGTAAAAATGTAAAATATGACTGTACATACTGGAGATCGCACAAATTACATTTGAATAATAAGACGACGGCAACGCTGCACAGTGAATGAGAATATTGCAAAAATAAAAAATCAGATTATTGCACAGATTAAATCAGATTATTGCACAGATTAAATTAAATTATTGCACATATTGAATCAGATTATTGCACAGATTTAATCCGATTATTGCACAGATTAAATCTGATTATTGAACAGATTAAATCCGATTATTGAACAGATTAAATCAGATTATTGCACAGATTAAATTAAATTATTGCACATATTGAATCAGATTATTGCACAGATTTAATCCGATTATTGCACAGATTAAATTATTGCACAGATTAAATCTGATTATTGCACAGATTGAATCTGATTATTGCACAGATTAAATCATATTATTGCACAGATACCGGTGAATTAGGAAACAGTGGGATGAGAGTATTGTAACAGTGTAATACTCATGACTCCCAGGGGAGGAGCCAAAGAGTCTGACAGCGCAAGGTAGGATTCATTTTCTGTGACTTAAATTATTCTGAGAGAGACATAACGTCCGTTGATTTGTTTGGCGTTGACCAACCTTAAACTGCATCTTACTGTGACCTCAACACAGGACCTGTTTAAGACATACATCATTTAGAGGAACTATGGGTTAGTAACCAAACGTACAAACTCCTGATATTTAAAGACGATCCACTTGTATAGGTTTTCCTAGCAGCCAATCATCTTTGCCTCAGTTTCTCCTTTGTATAAATGAGCTCAGGTCCAAAGCAACTCAAAAGAAATCCAGATACTTTTGTTCTATTTTCAGTCAAGACATCGTTCTAAAAGAATCGGACTCTGACCACAGTGTAAACAGGTGCCGTTCATGGAAGTAAGAACTATTTAAAATAGTACTTTAAGTTTCTGTTCCTCTGTGGTAGAAAACACTTTTTTTTCAGGTCAAAGAAAAATTTTGGAGCAGTGTTCCACCAGCAACAGCAACAACAACAACAACAACACAATCCTGTTGCAACAACAACAACAACAACAACACAATCCACAATTTTTATTATTTCTTTTTCGACACCTTGACCTGATGCAGTTCTTTGTGATCAAACAGATTTTAGGTATGCCCCTGTCGTGGCCTTGAAAGTTTGGTGTTTTTTCTTATTTTCGGGGATTTTTTTTTCCCTGACTCTGACAGCTCGAAGTCAACTTCAGGCTCGTCTTTGAACAAAGATACCGACTCTTTAGCTCCTGCAAAATTTACTCTGGTTAGAGTCACAATTTGTACTGCAATTTGTACATCCTGTACCCAAGACATTTGCTCTTCTTCGACTCAAAAACACTGACAATAAAATGGCAGAGGAAGTCACTGAATTTTACCCAATGCTAACATGTTACTAGCCTAAAAAAAATTAATAAAATTAAAGAGAAATTACGTTGGAATAACGACACAAATGCAAATGTGACGTGTTTAATAATCGTAGTTTACAGTTTTTTACAGCTGAGGAACTCATTTTTTTTTTGCCACAGATCAGAGACTCAGAAGTCAGTGATTATGAGAAACTCAATATTTGGTGACAGCTGCATCATTGCCTGACATCGGCCCCTGACCTTGGTGATGTTTTTGAAGTTAAATGGGAGGAGAACACTGCTGCATTGCCCCCCCAAAAAATCAATTCAGTCAAAGGAAAGTCTGAGTAGTAAATGTAATGCAGCGTACTCTAACCTCAGCCAGCAGTAGCCTGTTAGCTTAGCCTAGCATAAAGACTAGCTAGTTTTTTTCTCCCCTCCTGGTTTGACAACAACACGGCGTTTCCTCCATTTTCTTCAAAACTCTGATTCCCCACAGACATTGGAACCGACTTGAATGACTTCCCCGTCACTGATGAAGTCGTTTTCATTGATTTTCTTTGATATTTCCCAGGGTTTGCGTTGACAGAGAAAGAGCGATGACGATGGTTGTCGTTACACATGGGCTGATGTAGGGGCCACTGAAGGTCCCCCCCACTGTCAAACGCTGACATCTGATTATGTCTCTCCATCTTCTAAAGCTGTTGTACTTCAGATGAGTCGACACTTTTGGGAAGAGGGGAAAAAAAAAGAAAAAGAAAAAAAAAAACAGGCCATGTTAAGTTCCCTGCTCTGCTTTTTTAACAGCGCGCTGTTTGATGGACAATTTCATATCCTCCGCTTTCCCCCGTGCTCAGCAGACTTTTTAAAGACTTTAATGGAGTTCAGTGGAGATGCTAGCAGTCGCTCGGCTATTATTAGAATGACCCCCCCAACCCCTCCCTCCCTCCCTCCCTCCCTTTCCATCACTTTTCCCCACATTTTTCTTTTTTCCCTCCTCTGCCCACTGCCCTTCCACTACGTCTCTCCTAACATCTCATGCCTTTCTCCTCTGAGGAAAAAAAAAAAAATTAAACATCACAATTGTACATTTTAACTCATCTCTTTACACCTCCGACTGTAAGTTACTCAGAATTCTCCTCGCCTCGCTCCGCTTTGGCTCGGTTTAATCAATTTTGGGGTACTGTAGTCCAGGGAGGAGAGGAGGCGAACTCCATTTGACCCTGCTGAGTACACAGCAAAGTGTGCTCCAGAAAAACACACACACACACATAGATAATTAGTGTATTTGCTCTTCTGTTGCAGACAGTGGACAAGCTGAGGGAGCATCTGAACAGACACCTGCCACGACTGGGCAAGAAGAAGACCGACTCCCTGGTGGTCTGCTACGTAGCCAAACTGGTTAGTACAGAGTGTGTGTGTGTGTGTGTGTTGGTCAGAACTAATGAAAGAGTGAGCCCAGCAGCCGTGTTCACCCTCTAAACACAATTATATCAACAGTCTCTCTCTCTCTCTCTCTCTCTCTCTCTCTCTCTCTCTCAAAGTTTTTTACTTATTAAATAAGTGCCGCTCGCTCGTTCTCTGCCAAGGTTAAGTGACACTCACAGCAGTGATCAGTCATTTGGAAACAGCAGCCCAGTTATTTTGGAAACACCCGACAGTTTGTCCTTGAGAGATCGGGAAGGTCGTTGAAAGCCAGGCTGCCATTTTAACCTTAAAAAAAAAAAAAAAAAAAAAAAAAAAGTAAAATGTCTTACGGTTGAAGATGTTCACTTGTGTTTGTGTGTGTGTTTGTGAGTGTGTGTGTGTGCAGGCACTATTTATAGATGTTGTCTTATCATCTTCTGACTCCACCCCCCCCCCCCCCCCGCCCCTCCACCCACTCTACAGAGTTGTTCTTAAGTTCAGTCTTAATCATTAAAATGATCTGTGCTCCTTTATGACCCACATCAATATTGAATGTAGTTCCTTAAACCCAGAGCCTTAGGAAAGACATTTAAACCATTAAAGTTTTAAACTCTGATTTAAAGCTGACTTTTTTTTTTTTACGCCATACTGCATCGACTTCTGTGACACCGTGCTCATTATGACGCCTGACATAAAAACTGAAAACTGGTCGTCTCTGATGAGTCGGCGTGAAACTCAAAAGTAAAACCTGATAAGTTTTAGTTTTTCTTGTTTTGTTTTTTTGGGTACGAGACCTGCTTTTTTTTACCACTTGGTTAATTCAGTATGCCACACATTTTTTACACAAAAGCTAGCCCAAATATTTTAGGCCAACCGTGAAGAACTTTTGGATAAAAATTTGTGCCGCCTTTTGACCTACAACACGTCAATAAACTAGTGTTTCGTCCCATAAAGAAAAACAAGCTGCAGTAAAGACACGAGTTAAAGGAGGTGAGACCTCACCGTAAACTCTCACCCGTCTGGGAGAACAGACAGGTTTTACGTGAGGGAGATTTGGGGGAGGGATTCAATGATTTGGTCATGGATACAAAAAAAAAAAAAAAAATCAGATGTATTTGAAATTATTTGTATCACAATTTTAATTGTTAAAAATGGCTAAGTTTTAGCTAATCCTGAGCTAATGATTCCCCATTTTTGGCTAATCGTTAGCCTATTTTAGGTTGACTTAAACTAGCATTCTATACATTTTACACATTTTTATCACACGATTTTTGGCAAACTCTAATATGTTTTAGTAGTTTTTTTTTTAATTTTTATAGACATTTTCATTTGATATTGTCTCACATTTAGGCTACTTTTGGTTATGCTAGGCTAATTCCCTCTCATGCGACAGTGATTTGATCACTGACCGTTGAAAAATGTAAACACACTTGTACTACAGTGTAGTGAGTTATTAATAACCTTGACTTATTTTTAAAACAGTGCTTAAATATCGATAATTCAAATGTTGATTTTTTTTTTTTTTGCCCATGGACCCATCGGCATACAGCTAAAATTCAAAGCCCTGACTTCCTGGAAGGACGATGTCTGTGATAAGTTTACATTTGACTTCATTTTAATGGAGACTCTTGGTCTGGTGCTTCAGTATTCCTGGGAGGTAAAGTCCTTCACAGCCATGGAGCTGCTGCAAACAAATACGCTCAAATGTCATGACAACTGTAGCAAATCGGGTCAAGGGTAAGACCGGAATTGAATAGGAATGGAAGTGGATTTTTTTTTGTCCTATATGAAATAAAGGTTGAGATTTCAATATAAAGGCGAAAAAGTCTTTGGTCGTAACGTCTTCAAAAAAATGCAGCAATAAAGGAATTAACGGGAAACGTTTCTCAACAACGATTTAAGTCACATGATGCTGACACATGCTTGTGTTTCTCTGTGTACATGTAGTGTAAACGTTTGTACTGTCTTCAGCAGTGTGGATCCCCCCTCCCTCCCTCCACTTTGTCAGGCTAAGCTTCCTTAAGACAAACAACTGATCCCAGATTTCTTTTTTTTCTTAATTCAAACCAAACAGGGATTAACGCTACAGTTCGAGTTTCTTTGAAGCACACAGAAAAAAAAACATCTTTGCCAAAGCCTTTCTTACTATTTACGTGGGTCTGGATTACATCAGCAGCAAGAGCACCAGAGATGTTCGTTAGACAAGAAAGAAATTAAACTCTGAATTATTTATTTTAGGCCATTAAGGTTCGCCGCAGCAGAAGAATGGTTTACTGACAAAGAGCAGATTTAGTTTTTTTTTTGCAGTAGTACGACCTATAATCTGCGTTAACAAAACAGCTAACAGCCAAGCTAAGAAACTTCTTGACGTGCGGGCCTAAAATTGAACAGGGGGGCGGAGTCAGGAGCAGATAGATGGAGCGTTCGTGTGAACTAAGATAAATGACATGTAAAAGTCATGCATAAATGCTAAAATGCTAACATTATTTTTTACGCCATCTATTGGGAAAACGTGGGTATTGCAGGGAGAAGGAAGAAGTAATATAAATAATAGTAGTAATAATAATAGTAATATAAATAAATTATATTATTCAGAAAAGTTTGGTGGGCCAGATTAAAAAGCTGAACGGGCCGCATCCGGCGCCTGATCTTGTTATTAAAGTTATTCAAGATCCTATTATTAAAGATCCTTCAATTTCCTGTTTTAGTAAAGTAAAATAAAACAAGTATGTAGTGGAAGAAAAAGTAGTAAGAAGAAGAAGTAACAAAGTCTGCGCTGATTTACTGCGAGAGTTTGATTAAAAAGACTGGAGGGTATCGACCCAACACTGGTTTCCTCAAGGTCACACTGACACAGATAAGTGAAGGCTGTAACACAACAGCCCCAGTCCACTTTCAGAAACCTTTTTTTTTTTTCTCTCATCACATCAGACGCCTGTTATCGCTCAGATAAAAATTAACTTTTAAATCTAACGATGAGGGAATTTTCCGCGTAGAGCACAAACAAAAAGATTATAATTACGCAGATTAAAGTCAATTATTTAGGCAAAATCGGGGGAAGAGAAGCTGACCCTGGCAGAGAATTAAAGTTAAAGGAACAAAAACAGGATAATAATAATTTAGTGGAAGAAAGTAAAGAAATAAACAAAATGCGATTAAAGAAATTGGGATAAAAGATTTTTATGGTCCAACGTTTTATTTTGTTGATTTGTTTTTGCATATTTGGCTTTTTTATTGCTGTCTATTTTATTATTATCTGTCCAAATGTTAAGGTAATCTGTGTGAATTTTCATTTTAATATGCTAGGTTTTAGGTTGTTTAAAGTTAAAGTTGCTTTTTGTTTTAGTCCCAGGCCACCTTTTAGCCAATTCTTACTAAATAGTTTGGGCTACACTGTAAAAATGCTGATCTTAGCTTAGCTTAGAAATAGCCAAATAAAAACATTGAACATTTCTTGGCTAACAACAGACAAAATCTGGTTCTTTAAGTTTTTGAAAGTTGTCAAACTTTGTTAATCCCAAGTCTGTTCTTGTGTTAGCGACTTAGCCTAGCATGTTCACATTAACAGCCTAACGTAAGGTGTGGTAGCAGCTAGCTCTTGGAGTCTAGTAGTAACCTTTGAACCGAGATATATAGAGGAACAAACTTCAACAGAACTAATGTTAGCAATGCTAAAGCTAACATCGACTAGTAATGCTGTGTAGTCGCGCTAAATACAACAAAACTGCTTTGGATCCGACCTAAACAATGTTTTATGTACTAGTGCTGTACTCGAGGCGACTTGGATTTTACTGTATTACCAATAAAACAAAAGTATCTGTGAAATATATATACACATATATATATATTTATTCACAAACTACTGCGTGTTACTAACCGAGAGCGCAGAGCTAATTGAATCTCCCACCCTGAGGTCACTGGAGGACATGTCCAGTGGAGGGTTTCCCACTGGTTACAGGATGTGAGCATGGCAAATTAGCTTCCTGTTATTCAACAGGAGATGAGCAAGAGGTCATTGGTAGAAAAAAAAGTGAGTGTGTGCGTGTGTGTGTGTGTGTACAGTGCGTGTGTGTGTGTGTATTTTAGCAGGCACGCTCCAGACCAGAGTCGAGTGCATTCCAGCGTTTCTCGGACGCCATCAGATGTGTTGGAATGACGCGGTGGAGCGTGAGGCTGAGTGTGTGTGTGTGTGTGTGTGTGTGTGTGTGTGCTGAAACATGTGTTCTTGTTCAGTGAAAATGAAAATGGGAAGTAAAGGGCAAAAAAAAAGAAAAAAAAAAAGAGCAGAGCGGAGGAACAGATTATAGAATCAAGAACAGTTCCTCAAATAAAATGAGTACAAATCAAGAAAAATACCTCAGAGTTGAGCAAGTTTTTTTTTTTTTTTGCTTGTGTAGTGCAAAATTTCCAGGCCTCTGACTCTGTCGCTGCCTCTGGAGGAAAATGTTTCATTTGAATCTAATGGAGCGTCTCCCTCCGTAAGCACTTATACTGTATATCTGTGTGTGTGTGTGTGTGTGTGTGTGTGTGTGTTTGTACGTGTAGCTGGAGCTGATCAGACGCATGCTGGAATCAGTGTGGTTGAAGTACCACCTCGGCCCCGGCGCTCTGTGCTTGTGAGTAACTCTTTGTCTTTCTCACCATGTCCGCGGTTAAAGCACGGATTTTGAGCCAGATGGACGTGTGTGTGTGTGTGTGTTTGTGTGTGTGGTCGACGCGCTAAAATGATTAAAGCTCACTTCTTCATGTTTGTGTGTTATATAACTTTCACATCCTTTCTTCCGCACACGTGTGTGTGTGTGTGTGTATTTGTGTGTCCTCCAGAACGCAGCAGGCCAGTCGAGCCGAATGGTCCGTGCTTCACTTCATGTTTCGCATCCTGGAAGCCACCAGGGGGCTCTGTCTGCCACTCCCGCCAGGTAAAAACCAGCACGTTTGTGTGTGTTCCTTTGCCCAGCCTTCACCATTTCAAGTATAAATTATGCCTTAATTAATATATACAAAAATTAAAAAAGAAGAAACCGAAACTTTTTTTACGATAATTTGACGTCTGCTGCTGTTTAACCGCATCGATTTGTTGCGAATGCATGAAACAGAAGGATCGACATCATCTTTTCCGCAGCTTGAACCAATGTTTGATGGACCGGATTAGAAAGCCCAGTGGCCCAAATCTGGCCCACGGACCATAGTTTGGCCGTAAACAAATAATCAATGATCATGACTCTTCACTGTCGTAGCCAGTTTTGGCTCCATCAACAGGCGGTACAAAATAATACTTAAAACTTCTCAAGGATTTAAAGAAAACAGTAACACCACAAAGTTTTGCCGTTAGCAAGAAAGCACGCTGCTAAACAAATAAGACCAGATCAGACTAGTTTACACCATCGGGCTGCTTTTCACTCTTTTTTTATTGGCTGTATTCCCATATTTATTTTTCAGTATTTTTTGGTGGTTTTTTAAAACTTTAAAAAGAAACAAAAACTTCAACAAACTTTTACTGTAATTTTGCCAAAAATATCGCAACCCTGAAGGACTATATTTGACCACCTGCCAAAAATATCTTCCCAATCATTAGTGACAGTTAACCCCCCCCCCCCCCAACCCACTTGATACAAACTGGTACAAATGCAGTCTTAGTCTCCATCAGGTCTCGTTCCCACCGAGACAGCAGCAGCTCCGCCGTGTTAACGAAGCCAAATGAATGGTAAAGATTTGCACAGCGCACACCGAGCAGATGGAAACTCAATTTTCAGTCATTTAAATTCATATTTCAGTGTTCATTTCACAACCCCCCCGGTAACACGGTCCCGTGATTCAGGTTTATACGCGTAAACAGCAGGTTTGAATCCTAAACTGTTTGGATGAGTGAAAGAACAAACGAAATAGCCTGAAGCAAGTCGGCAGCGAGACTGCAGGTGGAAACAGGGGAGCTGACTGGAAAAGTGCAGGATTTTGGAATCAGTTTTATCATTTGGGGAATATAATTCAGGGTGAAAAATAATCACTTCTGGTGCAGCAGCAGTTGCAGGCGTTGTTTTGTAAAAAAAACCCAAAAACCTCTGATGTGAAGGTGCAGTTAAAACATCAAAAAGTTAAAGTTTCTTCTCTCCCCCCCCCTCCTCTCAATGTTCCCTCCGTTTCCAGGCTATCACACCCTCGCAGCGGTGTTAGCTCTGCGCTGCTTCCCTCCTCACACCTTCCTGCAGTACGTTGATCACGGCTTCCTGCAGCTCACAGAAACCTTTTTGTCTCGGCTCATGAAAGGTACGGAAGCACGCGCACACACACACAAACACACACGTGGCACCGTGCGTCTCCTTGTGTCTGGGTAAACAGTGTCACAGGAAACTCACGGTTGCGGAGATACGAGCGAGACAACAGCTGTCTTTATCTGACTCCAGACGCAAACACTTGCACTGGAGTCGTCCACGTGTTGTATGAACGCCAACACTGCTGCCGCCCACGCAGATGAAGAATAAAAATAAGATTGGTCTATCAGGAATAATTCATTAACTTTTGAATTCACAGTTGGACCAAACATCAGCAGGAGCACTGGGGCTAAAATGCTATTGACGTTTCTTACACAGCCCTCTGATTTCCCTAATTAAAAAAAAAAAAAACACAAAACACAAAACTTTACTTTCTGTATAAATTCACCAAACAATTTAGTGCCCGTTAACCCCCCCCCCCCCCCACCCCACTTGATACAAACTGGTACAAATGCAGTCTTAGTCTCCATCAGGTCTCGTTCCCACCGAGACAGCAGCAGCTCCGCCGTGTTAACGAAGCCAAATGAATGGTAAAGATTTGCACAGCGCACACCGAGCAGATGGAAACTCAATTTTCAGTCATTTAAATTCATATTTCAGTGTTCATTTCACAACCCCCCCGGTAACACGGTCCCGTGATTCAGGTTTATACGCGTAAACAGCAGGTTTGAATCCTAAACTGTTTGGATGAGTGAAAGAACAAACGAAATAGCCTGAAGCAAGTCGGCAGCGAGACTGCAGGTGGAAACAGGGGAGCTGACTGGAAAAGTGCAGGATTTTGGAATCAGTTTTATCATTTGGGGAATATAATTCAGGGTGAAAAATAATCACTTCTGGTGCAGCAGCAGTTGCAGGCGTTGTTTTGTAAAAAAAACCCAAAAACCTCTGATGTGAAGGTGCAGTTAAAACATCAAAAAGTTAAAGTTTCTTCTCTTTACCCCCTCCTCTCAATGTTCCCTCCGTTTCCAGGCTATCACACCCTCGCAGCGGTGTTAGCTCTGCGCTGCTTCCCTCCTCACACCTTCCTGCAGTACGTTGATCACGGCTTCCTGCAGCTCACAGAAACCTTTTTGTCTCGGCTCATGAAAGGTACGGAAGCACGCGCACACACACACAAACACACACGTGGCACCGTGCGTCTCCTTGTGTCTGGGTAAACAGTGTCACAGGAAACTCACGGTTGCGGAGATACGAGCGAGACAACAGCTGTCTTTATCTGACTCCAGACGCAAACACTTGCACTGGAGTCGTCCACGTGTTGTATGAACGCCAACACTGCTGCCGCCCACGCAGATGAAGAATAAAAATAAGATTGGTCTATCAGGAATAATTCATTAACTTTTGAATTCACAGTTGGACCAAACATCAGCAGGAGCACTGGGGCTAAAATGCTATTGACGTTTCTTACACAGCCCTCTGATTTCCCTAATTAAAAAAAAAAAAAACACAAAACACAAAACTTTACTTTCTGTATAAATTCACCAAACAATTAGTTACAACCAGAAAGTCAAGTCTGAGTGGTTCAAGACACTGGTGAAAAAATGCTAACAGTTTTAGCCAAATTTTAGCCAAAACTAACCCTATGTGTTAGCTACTGTAAAGCTAACTTCAATAGCCGTGATGTAACCAGAACTCAGGATTAGCCAGACAACGTGCTACATAGAGAGCTAAAATTAAAATCGATTCTCTGTGCCTTGTTTTACTACGTTACTGAATACGTTTCTTTCGAAAACGTTAGCATCGGTTGAATAAAGCGATAATCCCAAAATTATCTAGCGGTGCAATACAAACGCTACAAAAATGTTTTTTTTTTTTTGCGTCTTTCACATTTGGTGTGAACACAGCGTTAGGAGGTTGGAACCAGAATAATGACCGATTTTATTTTACAAATAAGATGCCCCCTGGTGGCCATTAAATAGAATACAGGTTTCAGACCATGTCCATTTTATTATCACCTGTATCAAAGTCACCTTCATCATCATCATCATCATCAAAAACGTCAACATTCTGTCTGCTAAAAAGCCGTGTGTTCAGTTAAGGTAAACAGAAGTGGTCTTTATTCTGAAATGTCTTTTGTTGATTTGCATAAAAATCAGCCTGAAGCTCGGCCCCAGTTGATTTAAAGTCTAACGTTCAGGCAGGGATGTTGAGAAAGAGAATATATCCATAAAATATTTAGTGAGCGAAGAGTGATATTTGCAATAGCAGTAGAGTAAAATATTACTTATATTAAGCCGCTGCACTGAGGAGGCCAGCTTTCATGAACATTTTTGTGTGTGGAGAATTGGGAAAACTGCAACATTCCCACATTCAGTGCAAAAAAGCAAACATTACTTCAATAATCCTCCTCTTCCGCAGCAGCAGCAGCAGCAGCAGCAGCAGCAGCAGCAGCGACTTGTGTACCGCTCCTTTATTTGTATCATCAGTTTGCACCTTGTTATCCTTCTGCCGTGACCTGCAGTGAACAATTTTTCCACGGTGCCACTCAGCGTATGGAAGGAATATAATGAGTGCATTTGCATTTATTTCACCCACAGTCTTCATAGGAAACAGGAGTGGGAAAAAAAAAAAAAATAAAAAATGTTGGTGCCTAAAAAATTTTTTTGGCCAAACAGGCGGCAGTCTGATGTTTCTTTGGCCCCGTGTTTGTGTTTAGACTTGGACAACAGCGATGCCAACGAGAGACTGAAGTTCAGCATACTGAAGAGACTACCGCAGGTACTTCTATATATATACTATATATGTGTGTGTGTGTGTGTGTGTGTGTGGGTTTTTGTTGTAGTTGTCCAGGACACATCCAGTCACCCTAATGATAAAATGTTGAGCAAAACCAGCCTGAAGGACAGACAGGAAATGTACCAGTTCTTGGCAAAAGTCAAGTGAAACAAAGCCTGCTGCAAATATAAATGTGTCTGTGAATGAAGGAGGGGGGAGGATTTTTTTTTTTTTTTTTCCAAACACTTTCTTTCCCAAACTTCCAATTCGGATCCAATTAAGACTTTGATGATATTTTTAGCCTCATCTCCCTCCAAGCTTATCACAAAGCTATTTCGTAATTTTTTCGTAATCGTGTGTGTGTGTGTGTGTGTGCGGCTGGGTGTGTGTGTGTGTGTGTGTTCCTTAGAGGGTGATGATGGTGCACGCACACGGTCTGACTGTGTTTGTGTGCTCACATCCCGGCTGTTGTGTAACTTCCACTGGTTCCGGTGTGGTTCCAGTTTTAATCTTAGGGAGCGTCTGCTTTGTGTTGCAATGTGAAGAATGACAAGTGTTTGGTGTCTCTGTTCCGTTTCCTGCCCCACAAACTTTAGTTAGGCAAGTTTGGCAGACAGGAGAGATTCAGCAGGTACAACACACACACACACACACGTCATGCAGAGGCATGTAAGTTGAGGACACACACACACTCCCGGCCGGAAAAAGGAACAGGAACTGTTTGCCACAAAAGGAGACGTAGAAAATAAACCCAGAACTTCTTTTTAATTCTTTGAAATAATGAGACTTTAACCTTGAATTCTCTTTTTTGCAGTAAAATAAACACAGACACCACTTCTCCAACCAAAGACAATAAATCACAGAAGTTCTTATTTATTTTATCGTAGATACAATACGAGGTTTACTGGAACAACCTTGT